TTGTGTTTTCTTGCCCTTTGTCATCAATATAAACCAATTCATGAAGGGAACCTATAACCTCTCCATTTGCATTGGTGGTATTCACAGGAAGAACAAGGAATGAGCTGTCTTGTACAGCAGAGCATATTTTTGCTTTCTCAACCTTTTGCATTATTTGAAGAAAGTCTTGAAATGACTTGATTTTTTGTGGTACAAAGCTTCCAGAGTTTTGGGAATTGTAAATACCAGCATATGAGATCATTGTACACTTTGACAGTTCTAAAAGCTTGCCTCCCTTTAATCAGCTTTTTATCATAATTCACATTTCCAAATACAGTTCTCCCTTAAGTTTTTACTGAAATTAATATTTCAAACAGAAGCAAAGGATACTCGAATGTTTGGAACTTCCACTGACTCGCCGTTTCTTCCTCTCTAGGCACGGAATTACTCTTTGAATGCATTTACCGAATGTTGCTCGGTTTATCTTTGAACCAGTTATTTCAGTAAATTTAAGGTAGGCCTCTTCTACTGGTAGCTTGGCTCCARGCAAGTAGCAAAAAAGTGATTTCAAAACACTGAAATAACACGTCAAATTAAAAAGAAGGTAAGCTTAAATAAACTTTTTAATATATCATGTAAGCTTAAATAAATCTGATGAGCTGTAAAATARCGTTGAGCACACTTCAAATGAAGACTAGTAGGCATTTAAAGTTACTTTTAAATTCAAATGTAAGCTTATCGGACAATTGTTATGGTAATCCATTGTTATTTAAACTTTGAAACGCTTTTTAAAATACTTACGCATTGTTATGATAATCGTTCGATGAATTATTCATCTTTCACGACTAAGGCTGCTCCCCTGATAGAATCACCATTTTTCTTCTAACTTTGTGCCTGGCAACCGACCGTGTACCTAGCAATCTGCTACAAGCATCGCTACAGGATTAAGAGCCGTTACATTCCCCGGGGTAATTTTAAAACTTTTGTCCCTTCGGGGCTCGATCGCGTCTTCGGCGCTCGAATGACGTCACACGTCCGGAACACATCCGTTAYAATCGTTACAGCGGAYAAACATTCAAATATTCAATAGGTCAACGATCGTTCCGTTTGATCGTCAATGATAATAGGTACAAAAGCCATTCTGCCGTGCTCCCTTGGTCCCATTGCTCTTTAGATGCTTTATATCGGGTATTCTGCTTTACGCAAGAAAAATCATACTTTATTCATATGTTTGTGAATAGGCGTTCAGATTACGAAATATGCATACAAATTTGTCTCGTCATTCGTAAACTGTTTTTATACCCTGAACCAGATAAACGAGAGATACTCTCTGTTTTAGTTCGGTACTATAAAAATATTTTCATATTTTTTAAAATTACCAACTTAATTATTGTATTTTAAGTGTTCCAAAAAATTGTAGAGATCTCAAAAAACTTTTTGAACTTAAGAACAATTCCGCAAGCATCGTTTTAAAACCTGGAGGCATAAACAGGGAGTTCGAGACAGGGAAAAAATGGGCTCATAAAACTATAGAAATTTCACTCTAACAAAGAAAAATAGTTCCACATAGTTTCAAATATTTAGTGACTTTCAAATCTAACATGACCGGTCATTTCCATTCGTTCATTCTGTCATTCTGTCATTCAGCTTGACSAACTGAACTCCCTGTTTATCCCTCCAGGTTTTAAAACGATGCTCGCGGAATTTTTCTAAAGTTCAAAACGTTTTTTGAGATCTCAACAATTGGAACACTGAAAATACAATAATTAAGTTACATGTAATATGCTGTTTGGCTGTTTGGCGTGCTATTCTTAGTTTGCAATATACGTCACTTCCGGTTAATTAAAAATGCATATTTCCAGCTGACGGGCAAAATTCAGCTGACGCCACGAGAGATTGTCTGTGTTTACGAATAGGTCAGAGAGGTTTTTAGCGCTAAATTTCAAAAATATGCCCGATTGCTGTTCAATTTATGGTTKTACAAATCGATCAAACAAACAGAAAGATAAGAGGTTCTTCAGAATACCAAAAGAAGTCGTCCACAAGGGTGATCGCACCAAAAATATTTCGAGGAGACGACGTGAAAAATGGCTGGCCAACATATCGCTCTGTTCGAAAGGAATTGAATCTCCGAACGCCCGTGTATGCAGCGATCACTTTGTAAACGGTATGTATTATATCTTTCGTTTGTGTAGATTTAAGTTTGGGTGAAACATATGCGGTTAACGGTATTAAACACCTAAAACCTTTAGCTTGTCATGTAGTGGAGTGTTTCCATTATAGATTTGTATGTCTTGTAGCTAAATCTTGATCAATGCTCATCTTGCCAGGTTGTCCAAGCAATTTATATGATGACAACAACATAGACTGGGCACCTACATTAAAACTGGGACATCAAAAGGTGAAACAACTCAAAGAGAACGATGTGAAACGTGCTGAGAGATCAACAAACAGGGAATTGAAGCGTCGCCATTCCGAAGCCGCCAGTGCTCTCTTAGACTTAAAGCAACCAYGACTCTCGGAAACTAACGAAGAAAACCACTCAGAGTTATCAGGACAAGGTAAAATAAATAATTATAAGTATATCATGAGATGTTTTCCTGACATTTGTTTATTTTTACAGTATATCCAGACAAAGATACAGATACGAATCATAAGGGATGCCAAACTGAACAAATTTCAACTACAAACAACGTTGAATGTCAAACGGAGCTCACCAGTGATTTGCTGTATGCAATGGAAGAAGAACTAAATAAAACACGCCAAGAATTACTGGACCTACGAAAAAAAACTTTGGATTCCGATTTAAGTGAAAAAGGCTTCCAAAACAATGACGAAAAGAGTAAATTTTACACAGGGTTGCCAAAGTTTGTATTGCTGTTACAGGTGTTTAAAACATGCGAGCCTTGGATAACACACACTGAAAGATCAGCACTAGGAAAGTTTGAACAACTCATACTCAMTCTAATGAGACTTAGACTCAATCTGCCACTACAAGATCTAGCATATAGATTCAACATCTCCTGTTCAACAGCATCCAGACTTTTTTACAAAGTAGTCTCAATCCTGCATTGTAGATTGCAATTTCTCATTCAGTGGCCATCAAGGGAATGTCTATGGGCTACAATGCCAATGGAATTCAGAAAGTCATTTGGAAGCAAAGTTTCKGTGATCATTGATTGCTTTGAAGTTTTTACAGAGAGACCATCAAATCTGTTAGCAAGAGCCCAGACTTGGTCTAATTATAAGCACCATAATACTGTGAAATTTTTGATTGGCATTGCCCCTCACTGGTCACATTCATCTCCAAGGCGTGGGGAGGAAGAGTTAGTGACAAAMACATAACAGAAGAAAGTGGCTTGCTAGAGAATCTACTCCCAGGCGATATTGTTCTAGCTGATCGAGGCTTCAACATAGAAGAAAGTGTTGGACTTTATTGTGCATCTTTAAAAATACCAGCTTTTACAAAGKGTAAAAYACAGTTGTCTGCACTTGAAGTCGAAGAAACAAGAAAAATTGCGCATGTTAGAATACATGTGGAAAGAGTCATTGGACTGGTGRGGCGCAAATACCTGGTTCTACAGACTCGTGCACTACCAACAGAGTACTTGTATACAAAACCTGGTGAAWCATATTCTTTAATTGATAAAATTGGAGTTGTATGYTGTGCACTTACAAACTTATCAGAATCTATAGTACCGCTAGAGTAGCATTATAATATGGTAGGAATTGTAACAATTTAGTAACTTGTGCTGAAGTACTCTATTTTAGTGCAATAACACTACTTATGTTTATATTTTGAAACATCCAAAGCTTACATTAGTAACAATATTAATAAGTGTGTATCAAGTTATGGTAGTGTATTTTGTCCAATGAAAATTCAAAAACAGTTAATCTTGAATTAACGTTCATCTTTAATCAAGAAATTTGGAAGTATGTATTTGTAACTTTGTGACAATTATACTTGTACATGTAATATTTGAATAAATAAATGAACATTATATTTGTCTATTTRATTGCTTTAAAGTGGGTACCATTTRCTTTGTGAAATATTGCCCTAACACTTCAGGTAGAATACACTTCCTAAAAAAGACCTCTGCTTTTGGTAATATATTTTCCCAAAAGRAAGGATCTGGCTCAATTCTCTCAATAAAGATATCATTTTTGATCCAAACTATAAAGTCACAATATTCACATTCCATGATGTTAATCTGTGCTTGCACKTGATAATAATAGGCGTGACTCCTGTCTAGTTGCATTTGGCCATTGTCAGTCTTAATCAGACAAAAACCCTTCTCACCAAGACAACTCTCAATATTTTCTTTGTCTTTCTGGCAGTAAGGACACTGAAACAAACAAACAAAAAAAAAACTGATAAATATGATATTATACAATCATCTAACAAATTATTTAGAATGTGCAAAGTCAGCATGTATACTGTCATAGTTATTGTATATAATCTTATACCTTGATTTCACAAGCTCCATTTCCACAGCACTTGCAGATTACAACCCCATCAGGAGAGGCACCCAGGTGTGGCCAATTAGTATGTATTCTCAAACCACTATCACTAACAGTGAAGCTCTCATGTTGACTTGACATTAGCTCCTCGTACTTCTTTCGTGCATGGCACTCATGTTTACMGCCATAACTGAAATGAATGCAGAGTATTTCATTAACAAAACTGCAATAAATAATTTTTGATGACAAAGAAGAAAAATAGAATAAAACATTTACCTGGTAGCACTGCTTGTAAATCTGTAAGCTTCAGGATAACAAATACTTTTCACAAGACTTTTTGATGGTTTGTCAGGATTTGTCTTTAGGGCTGCTTTGAGTTTTGATGCTGTTAAACGGCCTGCTCTTTGTGAGAACCATATATTGGACTTTGCTTGTTTTCTTGTTTCAGCTTCAATTAGGTTAGCTTCTTGTTGAGTTAGCACCACATTCAGTTTTTTGCATTCTTCTGTTAACTTGTCGTCACAAAGTTCTAAAGATGCATCAGTCCTGTATGACATAATGCTCTTGGGCATTGCTGTTGTGGATGATTTTGGGATAAATCTTGTGTAATAGGGCTGTTTAAACATCAGTGCAGCACTATTTGGAAAGTTAGTATTTAACAATTTAAAGAAATTTTCATGTTCTTCTGACCCAGCAACAACTAATGGATATTTGTTGTGTCTAGTAGATGGGGTAGCATTTGGTGTTCCACAGCTGATTGCATGCTCTAGTTTGTGTTTCTTGGCCTTTGCGGAGCTGAAGTCAATATCAGATACTGGTGCTGGATTTATCTGATGAAAAATTTGACATTAGTTTAATAACATAAAAATATGAGAATATTGAGAAACATTTTCATCTCACAGAGAGCATTAGACATACATTAAATGATRTTAAATATGGTTATTTATAGTGATRATAAGACCACATTCAAATATCAAAATAAAGCACATAATACCTTTTTTGCTCTTGATGGCATCAACCATTTGCTTTTTTCCATAGTGCAGGTGACAGACTCTCGCATGCGAACAGCTGTTYCTGCGTAATAAAGGACAGCTCCAATATGTGAGCAGGATTCTGCTAGCCTAAATAAGATAACAAAGTTTAATAAGTAAAGGAATATGTTCAAGAAAAACATCGAAGACATATTTACCCGGCCATGCAGTTGCAATGGGCTGTCATTACTTCACCATCTTTCTTTGCAATTACCCAAGTCTTCAATGGAGTTTGTGTTGATCTCTGTGAGTGGTTGACCTTTAATTAAAAAACAACATAAGTGASAGCCTTAATCTAGGAGATCCAAAAGGTTAGTTATAATGTCGCAAAGTCAGAATTCTATACGTTCACGAATATAACTAGCACAGCACTGGACTTACCCTTGCAAATATCAGTCGGTTTTCGTCTTTAASGATCTTAATGCCAACATCATGGACCCATCCACAAACAAAATAATTATAGGCCTCGAGACTTTTAAAGGCTTTCATTTGTTTTCCCGTGTAAAACGAGGTATGGATTACCAAGTAGTTCGAAATGTCGGGAAACTCGATAGCAGGTAGATCGTTAAAATCTTGTGAAAACTCTTTCGATTTCATCATATAAGGATCGATTCCATCGCAAAGAGATATTTTGTCGACGTATCTACGTTTTGTCTTTGGGTCTAGAGTTTTAGTGTACTCGGAAAGAGTGTTTTCTTGCATTGAAGTATCAAGGTCACTCACGTGCGCGTTCTCGGCCATGTTTGTTTATAATCGTTTGCCCGTCACTTGGAAACCGGAAGAGATTTGGTAGGCAAAAAGTCACGTGATTGCAAACGAAGAATCCCACATGTCAGTGTTCTTGAATTCTGGTCACGATATCACTACTGCTGAGTAAATGAAGCAGGCCATAGATTCATCTCGAGGTGTCCCAGGAGTAAATGCGCGTCTTTGTTCCATGGAAACAGAATCACAAAGTCAAATTAAGTGGGAGGGAGTGAGCTTTGTAAATAATATCCAGTTCTCGNATTGAAGCAATCTATTTGATTATCTTTGAAGAGATGAATAGCAATGAAAAGCCTATTGAAGCTACAGCACAGTCAAATTGAGAACAAATACCGTGATTACAAACTTTCAGTGACGTTCGAAGTTTTATGCGAAGTTGTAGAGCTCTAATCCCATACATGTATCTCTAGGACTGATATCAAKCTTAGTAACTCCTTTTTGTTCTCATTTAATTTCTTAGGTATTTAACTAACCTTCAGTGTTGGGTTTCTTGCAATTGCATTCGCCACTGACGAACTAATTTGTTYGATCACAGTTTTGTAGTCCATGAGAAAATTTGAGCTAGACGTAATGACAATGGTGCGACCAGCCGGACACAACTAGACTAACCTAGAGGAGGTGAAAAGATAAAAAAAACACACACAGGCAACCCATGATTTGAAAGTGCTTTTAGTTGGAGTGCTTAGTAGAAGATGCTTAAAAGTTTCTATTTTGTTCATTTTTAGCCGTGTCTTGAAATAATCGATTAATTTTGCTACCTTTTAAAAAGCGACAAAAAAGTTAAAAAGAGTTTTGTATTTCATGATTGATGGAGCAAAAATGAAAATATTTCGTAGGTAGAACCGCGCCTATATTCCTAAATACGAAACGGTCAGCATGTCGAGGCCGCATTTAATTACGCAAAGTGACGTTTTGAGAAATTATCACCAAAGCATAGGTTAAACCCTTTAGTTAAGGACTGCGCAATATTTATGAGGAGAGGGGGTTGAGAATCCAGAGGAGGGAGGGGCAAATCTCATTTTATGTGCTTGAAGAAGGGGACGTTAGCAACGTCTAAAATTAACTAGAACTTTAATTGGAAACTGAAAACTCAACGGTGTCAGATTCTGTGTGTTTTGGCCAAAGTGGATTCCTTTTAGATGCTCTCGATGTCTCTCAAAACGCTAGAAATCGTATTTTTATTTCAAAATTTCCTGGGAGAGTTCCAGACTCCCTTAATACTTCCGCCTTTGTCTGTCGTTAGACCCCAGATCCAAAATATGTGTTGCGGTCCCTGACATGTGCGTACTAGCCAAAAAGTCCWCGCTACGCGTCTGGGGGAGGAGCGTAATTTATTTTGGTTTGCGATGGGGGCTTAACGTTTTTGATTTTTTTAGCTCATTTCTCACTCTGATAAATATTGCGCATTCCCTKAAGTTCCTCCTGGTCGTAAAAGCGRGGAGGGCGTCCAAAAAGCGTTAGAAAAGTCTCCAAAATCTTCAAACCACAACTTTTTCTTGAGAAAGTGTCAACCCATCGGAATTCAGATATAACCGCATTGCATATTGAAAACAGCGAATACGAATGCAATAAATAACGGGCGTGATATTASAAGTGTCTATTATCTCGCGGAAGATTGTTCCAATTACTGATTGTTATAGGGATGAAACTATATTTGTAAATGTCAGTTCTTGCGTGGGGGATATACAATGACTCCGMGTGTTGATGCCGCRAGGGATGCGTAGGCTTGGCGAAATCACTAAGCGGAAGCGAAGCCGGGCCCAATCTATACCCTTATTAAAGAAAGTCTATCAAGAATTCGACGGTTCTGTAGGGTATTCCAATCAAGCTCCCGTAATAAGGCAGTGTGACTGCTCTCTGTTGGTAGTTGGAATAGTCYGACATCACAAATCTGGTGGCACGCCTCTGAACATTTTCGATCTTCTGAMAKAGGGAGACAGTATGAGGGTCCCATACGGGGCTCGCGTATTCCAATAAGGGGCGGACCAACCCGTTGTTTGCTACTTCTTTAACTCAATCCGCATAACCATAAAACCTTACGCCTCCCTCCCGTAACTTCTTTTAAAAAAAGAAAAAGAAAAAGGCGTCTTCAAATTAATCTGATTAGTCGTTTTTTAATTCGCAAGTCAATTTTTAGTCTTTAAAAACACTAAAATAAACATGCGAGATGAAAAAATGTGTAATGATTGTGATCGTCGAAGTGTAAATAATAATCAAAGTGATTGTTACTGAATGTATGGATCGCCCGAAAAAAGTTTGGGATTCAACGGCAATCGAACCGATGCCCTCTGCGATGCCGGTGCAGTGATGATCTACAAGTGAGCTATCAAGCCAAGTATGTAAGTTGCCGAGCTTTCATTTGGTAGAGCACTGCACCAGCAAATTTTTTTGGGTAATAWTCGCTTAATATATAGTTATTATAATTATTTACAATGCGACGATCACAATCATTACACACTTTTTTCACCGCAGTTCGAACTATTACTTCATCACATGAGATRAAAAGAGTTGTATATTTACTGATATATTCAATTTAAACTTATTATTGTGGATTGTAGAATATTCACCAGAATAAAAGCTATGATATGTATAGGTACTATAGCATGTTTTGTAGTGGTATTTGGGATAAATACAATGCGTGATACTTCAAAATTGTCAAACAAAATTTCACGAGCAAAACGTTGTTTCCTTGCCACTAGTACGCACATGCGTATATGCGTAAAGGACGCTACGCACCTGCTATATTATAAATCTTGAWAAATCTTGAAAATCCCGAATACCTTTAAAATACTCAAGTGCTTTAATGGCCGTAAGGGAGAGTTTATTCCCAATTTAAAATTCTAGTTCTAAAAAAAGTCGTACAGTAACAGTTTAGAAGAACAAACCTGGGCGGCTCCTCCTGAGATTTCGCGGTACGGAACTGAGAATTTATAATTGAGACGCTCGCGGTAGACTAATAAAAGCAAGCTACGTCAATTTCGAATGAGTCGTTCYGCTCCGTCAAAATTAAATGAAACTCAAAAGAATCTCAGAGCATTTATTGTCGCGGCATAACAAAAAAAAAAGGGATTGAGGGAAAATCAGTATTGAGGCCTTTCCAGCCTTGTTTTCACATTTTCGGTACATTTCAAATTGAAACTAAAACTCCGCCAATTTACTACTATTAGTTTACATATACTATTTCTTATGGTGAAAACAGATTTTTAAAAACATGGAACGTTTGAGGAGCTCATTCCAAGTCTTCTGCTCGTTTTTCTTGTGGCAAACTGGAATTATCGCAAAAGCGAACAAAAGCAGATACACATAATTACCAAGATAGGTTTATTGTTTATAAAATGATCTCGCACAATATTAAATAGTTTTTAGATGTTGCCCCGAAATAATTAAAAAAAATATATGAAAGGTTACAATAAGAAATATTTAAAACAATAATTAAGTGGTGCGATGGCATCCGCACGTGCGCACCATAGACCAGGTACATGGTTGTTCAATGTCATAAGTAGAATTGAGTTCATTTTCCAAAATTTTCTTTAAGTACAGTTTGAAAGTGCTTATGCTACAGAAGTCATCTTTAGAAGCAGATTTACAGATTAAGTTCCATAATTTTACTATACGATTGAAGTATGAGGCCTGAAAAGTAGACGTTTTACAGTAAGGAGTTTTCAGATTATACGAGCTACTTTGTCTCATGGTAGTAAAWCCAGTTTAAYAAGTCTTTCCTTATATGTCATTTCCCCGACGCTTGTTTGTAAGATCCAGCGTGTTGCTCTCCTTTGTACGTGCTCAATTTTGCCTTGTAGGTAGATGTGACAGGGGGACCAAACTTGCGAGCCAAAGTACAACTGCTCGTGACGGTAATTCCAAGATCCTTCTCTTCAGACACGCGCTCGAGTTGTTTATTGTTAAGGCAATAATTATGTTCGAAGGGTTGTTTTTACCGAGTGACAGTTAAGGTTTTTCATTTGGAGGCGTTAAACTCGATATTATTGACTTGTGTCCACTCGGCCATATCAGATAAGGTGGTCTGAATAGTTTCACAGTCATRAGCATTCTTTACTGCCCCAAAGATCTTAGTGTCGTGCTGTGCTTACGCCCTCTTCTGCAACGTCTGGTAAATCGTTGATGAAAATAACGAACAACAGCGGACATAAGAGACTCCCTGAGGCACTCCAGAGGTAACGGGGGCCCATTGTGACGACGCGCCTTCAAGAACTACCCGCTGTAATCGACCTGAGAGATAATCAGTGAGCCACGATAACAGCTTACCAGACATTCCATACGCTTAGAATTTTGTGGTCCACACTGTCAAACGCTTTTGCAAAGTCTAGGTATATTACATCTGTCTGAATGTTCTTGTCAAGATGAAGGGCTGATAGCAGCTGGGTCACACAAGACCTATTTTTCATGAACACATGCTGAAGGTCTGTTATTAGGCATTTAAGATGTTCATAAAGACGAGCGAAGACGCAGCGTTCTAGAATTTTTTACTGATAATGGACAACAGCGATATCGGGCGATAATTTTCAGCTGGCTCCTTAGAATCTTTTTTATGTATTGGTGTAATATCAGCGGTTTTCCACTCACTCGGCACTTTTGCACTACATTCTTTAAAGGGGTACTTGGACGTAATGTATGGTCGTTTTTGAAAAACCTGTAATATTACGTCTTAGCCGCTGGAACTTTCTTRACAAAAAGATAAATAAACAAGAAATCACTCTGTAAAGTTTCATTTCGATATTTCAGTGGGAAGTATGACATATTTACGATTTTTCCGCCATTATTTTCTCTGTTCATCGATTTTGCTCAGGAGAATGGGTCTAGTTGGACCAGTGACGTCATAGGTCCAACACATCGCGAATTAACGAAGCAAATACTTACTA